GATTGCTCTTCCACTTACAGGCGCCTCCTGTTTGTTGGTGCTGGCAGGCTCTTTGCTGTGAACAAAGCTCGTTCCAATGCCAGGTCTCAGTCATGGTCTTGGCTTTCCTTTATCAAAACACCCTGAAAGCACCAACCTCTCTCTAGGTTATTATTTGGGAATCTGATACAGGATCTCACTAGTTGCCCAGGATGGCCCTGAGCTCACCATAGCTCAGGCTGACCTTGAATTTGGCGAACTCCCACCTCAGTCTCTCAAGTAGCTGAGCTCACAGTCCTGTGCCACCCAGGTCTAGCTCTGTAATTTGTATTCACTATTAGATACATATGTGTGCTTCTGTTTATTACATGCGCCTCCCTGCTTTGAAGTTCTATAATGGTGGGGGCAATGTCTTGATAATTGCGTAACCCCCTAATATAATGTCTGCACACAATATTAACAAATTTTTGCAAAACAGGCCCTCTTCTGATGAACACTTTGATTTTGTGCGTAATTGAGATGCGAGTAGTATTTCAGCAGAGAAGTCAGATCTATAATCCCAGCACTCAGGTGGTGGAGGCAGGAGGGTCAGATTGTTAAAGGCCAGCTCAAAGTATGAGCCCCTGTCATCTCCCCCCCCCCAAAAAAAAAAACCCAAACCAAAATCAACAACAAAACAGCAATCTAGGTTACCTTTTAGGCCCTCATAAGGTGAGACAACTTGCGTATGTTGTTTCTCTTCAGCCAGTTGAACTTACTTACACGGTAGCACGCTGTGAAGGCAAAGTGAATTGAAGCATTTAAAATGGGTTGACAATGCTGGGACCTACTATAAAGGCTAAGTGCCTTTATAGTTGATTGGTAAATGGTCAAGCAGTAACATTCTGACACATCACATTTCAGGGCAGATGCATTAATATTAACAGCCTGCCTCCACCAGTAGAGGATTGCCCAGAAGTGTCTTAACTATGGCTAGTTAAGAGAGACAGGGCTTGCTCCAAGCTCAGTACCTCACACCTCTTTGTTCCCCTTTACCATTTCCTGGGTGACACCTGAATCCAGGTTTTCTGATCAGAGCAGTTACTTTATATCCTCACGGACGAGCTTGCTTCCTCAGGTTTATATCCTAAGAGTGGAGTGTGGCCCCAAAGCACTGGAATGCCTCTCTCTAGACTTGTCTCCTGTGAGAGGATGGAGTCAAGAACCTGGGCTTGCATTTATTGAATGCCCTTTTGGTAAGTTTCCCACAGTGAAGCCTAGTCTGTCAGCCATTCCTTGTGAAATGGGATTGGCCCCTTGCCTTCAACATCTTACTGCGACAGTTTTAACACACAGTTTTATTATTCTTCAGCTATGGTGAGGACAACAGAACAGTAGATTTGGGTTTTTAAGGTAGTTTTTTCCTACAGTTCTCAAGAGATGGGGCATGCCTTGATATGAAAGCACCAGAGGCAGGATTCAGAAAGAGCAGGGGGAAAATGGTAGAACCTTGGCTTACCATGACTGTGGCTGCTGTAGAAGGAGCAGGTGAAGCAGCAGAGGCACATTTTGTGTTTGCTTGTTTGAGTCACTTCAGTGTGCTAGGGGAGATGGGGATTTCCCTGCTTGCTTGGTGCTGACTTTGAAGTGATTAGAATAGGAAAGTGATGCTCTTGAGAGTAAGAGCCTTACTGAGAACTTGGGATGAGGGGATTCTGGGTATGTTGGTTTCCATTGAAATGGATGCTCACACTTGAGTTGCTTATTGCTGTGGGAACTGGGTACCTCTGAGAGGGACTATTTGTGTGAAAGCATCAAACTAAGAAGGTGCACACACACACACACACACACACACACACACACACACACATATATATTGAACATATACATATATATGTTCAATCACATAATCCTGTATATGATGTATAGTTTCATGTTATTTTGGGGTTGAGTGTTTTTTGCCAAAACATATAGCTTGTTGTGTAGTCATGGACAGGACCAGTAGTCCTATGAAGGTGTGTGTATATTAATTTATGTATTTTTATTTATGTCTGTCTGTGTGCATTTATGTGCACCACATGCATGAGAGTCCCTGGAACTGGAGTTAGAGGTGGTCATGAGCCACTGTGCGGGTGCTTGGAACTGAACCTGGGTTCTCTGTAAGAACAGTAAGTGTGCTTAACCACTGAACCATCTCCAGCTAACCCTCCCCACCCCAGTAAAGTGTATTTTTTGTTTTAACAAAAGATGAAGTGCTTTGAGGGAAATGCAGTTCCCTTTAACCTTGTTTACAACTCCTTGACTGAGTCAGAGTTCTCAACACTGACTTATCTCAGGATCCTTTGTAGACTGTATCACAGATGTAGTTACTGGGATCTGATTTAGGTGCTACTAAGCTAGAAGTCATTCTGTGTGCATCCCGAGTGAGTGAGATTAGTACATTAAAAGAGGGCTTCATCCTAAGAGGTTTTTGTTTTTAAATAAACTAGCCAGAGGTACATGGAGGGAACATATGTAGCATTCTTTTTAACAGTGTACCCAGCTGACAGCCAGAAACAATTGCTAGTCAGTGATGCACTGTGGAAACCCACTTTTTTTTTAAGATTCATTTATTTCTCATTCATGAACATGTTCTGTGCACTGTTTGCAGAGCCCTAGGAAGCCAGAAGTGGTCATTGGATCCTCTGGAAGTGAATTTTCAGACTGCTGTTAGCTGCCATGTAGGTGATGGACTGGATCCCAGGTTCTTTGGAGGAGTAGCCAGTGCTCTTAACCTCTGGGCCATTCCTCTTGCCTCCTAAGAACAGTCTTGATAGTACATTCCAATCACATTAGGTATCAAAAGTCAATACCAACAGCTGACCCTGATCGGTAAACACTGATGTGAGCAAAAGTTGGTCAGAGGAATATAATCACATTTTCAATTTGCAAAGACCACTCTGGTTACAATATGGATAACAGACTGGTGGGGACTAAGTGAGCTTGGGCAAGTTGTGTGTTTTGACACATGGGATAGTTTTAGGGTAACTTGGAAGGGCAGACTCTAGAGGTAGGAAATAAAAGCAGTAGGGCTTAATTTGAATGGAGAGGACTGTTAGAGATGTGTCAGTTACTGACCACACAGTTAGCTGGATGTTGAACAGTTTTTTGTTGTTGACCCCACCTGACAATCATATTCCTGGAGATTCTGAATCTGTCATAGGATCCATCTTCCATGGCAAACTGAGCTATAACTGGAGGTGTCAGTTATTAGACTACCATTCTTAAACCATTATCAGCTTCTTCAGTGGGACATGTCCTCTCATACCCATTTGTGTCACTCAAATCAGATTTTTCTGAGATTTATCTTGTCGGCAGCTCTCCCTGCCTCTGCTGGCCCCTTTCTGGTAATAAAGTCGGTCTTTTCCTTGTGTTAGCCTTTATCATGCTGTTTACCTGTTGTTTCCCACATTGAACTAAGAGACCCTTGGAATAGAACTTTTAATATGAGACTTTGTTTAGCTGTCTGTATAGTAAAAAGTATTTGTGAAATAATGAAGGGAATCCATGACACTTTTATGCTGTACTCAGTCAGGAATATCTTTCCTCCTTTGTGCATTCATGGACATCTCTCATGACCTCAATTCTAACATTTTTGCCATCATTTCTAATTTGCAAGAACCAAGACTGGTCTGGTCAATGCAGTCTGGAATGCAATCCTAGGTTCACATCTTGACCTGTTGAAGACTTAGGCAAATTCAAGATGCTTGACTTCATCTGTAAAACATGGGGATATTTACTGCACAGTGGTATTGCTGAAGCCCAATAAAATATCTCTTGTAAGCTACCTGGCCCAAAACAAGTGCTACATTTTGAGTTCCTGTCTTTTGGGAGACTCCAATGGCATAACAGAGCTAAATACTTTGCAAAGTCCAGCTCTGCTGTTAGCTGTGTGCCTTTGGTCATCTTGTGATCCTCAGAAACCTCATTTGGAGAATGGGACAAAAACATGATTGTCCTTATTGAGCACTGTTTTATTATCCCTGATGCTGTCTCTGATGTTATCACTTGATTTTAGCTATACTAAAAGTTTGTCTCATGTCCTGAAAACCATCTTGAATAATCTATACATTATCGTTTGTATGGAAACACTATTTTAGTCTGTTTTCTACATAGGCACTGCTGTGTAGAAATACAGTGAGCTGCATTCCTTAGTGATGTAGTCAGTCTTCCCCCACAAGTGGTATAAATATATACCCAAGTGGCTGCCCTTCATAAACATGTATTTACATTCTGAGCACATGCTTTCCCTGTGTAACATGAGCACTGTCCACCTTAGGGGCTCTTTGGATCTACCTCCTCTCTGCCTCAGCCAGCTAGTCTTTTCAGATTGTCTTGCCCAGGATGTTCAGAGAGGCCACAGCCTTGGCCTGTCATGTTCCAAAAGGACAAAATGGACTCAGCTTTGTGAAAGTTGAAGAAAATGTTCGGAGGCAGGACTTCAGTCTTCAGGGAAACCTCCAGAGCCAGGAGGTTTCCCGCCAGCAGTTTAGACAGTTTGGCTACTCTGACTTCACTGGGCCCCGGGAGGCTCTGAACCAACTGCAGAAGCTTTGTCAGCAGTGGCTGAGGCCAGAGGAGCGCTCCAAGGAGCAGATCCTGGAGCTGCTGGTGCTGGAGCAGTTTGTGGCCATCTTGCCTACGGAGCTGCAAGCCTGGGTTCAAGAGCACAGACCTGGAAATGGAGAGGAGGCTGTTACTCTGCTGGAGGAGCTGGAGAGAGAATTTGATGAATCTAAACAAGAGGTAAGATGTAAAGATTTTTGTTGGTTTTGATCTGTTGTGGTTAACAGAGAAGCCACTGTGAGTAACACTAACTTAGCTTTCAGGGAACTTAACCAGTTTCTGTCTCTTGGTTAATTATTCACCCATTAGTTCAAGTCATGGGTTCTGTAGTGCTGTTCTTTTTTTCTCTAGTCATCTGAAGAGTTTTTGGTTCTTTTGTTTTGTCCATTGCTGTAGGGTGTTTTTCCTGTATATCCCCAGTCACAGTGCTGGTACTTGTTACTCTAGGTCACAGCTCATGGCCAAGGAATGGTTTGCAAAGAAATGACATTCATGGGAACACGGAAGTCTCTGAGTAGCCCACTGCAGTCCTTGGAGAACCATTGCAGGAGTGAACCCCAGGAGCCACAGGTTTTTCAGGAGACAGATGAGGCAACCCTACCATTTAGGGTTGAGGATGGAGGTGAGGACTATCAAATGTGCCAAGGCTTTCTTAATGACTGTCACCTATACTCCACTGAGTATTATGGAAAATCCTGCTGACTTTGAAATCTTCAATTGGCTCAGCCTAGAATTTGAAGTTTCCATATAATTTTTTAACTTTGGTTAAGAATAAAAGTCTTTCTGGGCAGTGATGGTGCATGCCTTTAATCCCAGAATTTGGGAGGCAGAAGCAGGTGGATTTCTGAGTTTGAGGCCAGCCTGGTCTACAGAGCTAGTTCCAGGACAGCCAGAGCTGTTACACAAAACACTGTCTTGAAAAAAAAAAGAACAAAATAAAACAAAAAAATCTTAAGTCATATTCCAAAACTAATACTTTTTTGTTTTGTTTTTGTTTTTCAAGACAGGGTTTCTCTGTGTAGCTTTGGAGTCTGTCCTGGAACTCACTCTGTAGACCAAGTTGGCCTCGAACTCACAGAGATCCACCTGCCTCTGCCTCCTGAGTGCTGGGATTAAAGGCATGTGCCACCACTGCTGGCTACTAATCTGTTTTTAAAGTTTTTTTTTTTTTGTCACACTAACAAGGCAGTTTCTAAGAGGGACAAGAATACTATGTCAGTAGCTAAAGTCTCATAATAACTTGGAAAGTGTTATTACATATATTAAAATATTAAAAATTGTCAGCTGCAAGCCAGATGTTGTGGCAAATACCTATAGTAACAATACTGACTTGAAAGGCTGAGAGTTATGAGGGCTGTGTGTTCCAGGCCAGCCTGGATGATATAACGAGATAGTCTCAAGAAGAAAAGCAGCAAGGCATTGACCACTGTATAGCATCACTAAGAACCAAACTCTAGAATGAACAAGGTAAGGTAGAAAGTCCTAAGAGCCGGGCATTGGTGGCACATGCCTTTAATCCCAGCACTCGGGAGGCAGAGGCAGGTGGATCTTTGTGAGTTCGAGGCCAGCCTGGTCTACAGAATGAGTATCAGGATAGGCTCCAAAGCTATACAAAGAAACCCTGTCTCGAAAAACAAAACAACAAAAAAAGAAAGTCCTCAGAAGAACACATATGCAAGAGGTGCTATGTTTCATCTGCTCGTGCTAGGGCTGAGAACCTGATCTTGTTAGAGAGGGTACAGTCACAGATGGAGGTAGAGTTATTCTCTGAAATGCTCAGTAGGCTAGAGTCAGTAGAAGACACCTGTAGGGTACTAAAAGCCTGCCAGGAAATGTGACTTAGCATAAAATTTGCTGGGAAATTTATTGGGGTGTGTGTTGTTGGGCGTCCTGCATGCAAGAATGAGCAGAAAAGTTTTCTTCTCCACTGTCCTTTCAACTTCCTCAGCTGAAAAAATGCACAAGCTAGCATGCTGCCAGTATTACAGATAGGACAATGATAACTTTGAAATAAGAAGGCAATAAATTGAAAGTATCATAGGTGCCAATGATTAGAGCAAAAAGGCCTTTAAATTATTGATAACATCTATATGGAAGGCAGACACATCAGTTTTATTAGCTTGTTGTATCTGATTCTGACTTCATTTTCACCAAGTAATCTTGTTACAGTCCCATGAAGCTTAACTATATTAAAGAATGCCTTATTCAGTCATATCTATACAATTTACATTATTCCTCCCCCCCCCCCCCCCCCCCCTCTGTGGTGTTGTGGATGGAACCCAGGGCCTTGCACTTGCTAGTCAAGTGCTCTACCACTGAGTTAAATCCACAAACCCTACATTATTATTAGTTATATTGCATAGTTACAAGAGCTTGGCTAGTATGAGTCCATCCTAAGAGGTAAATCTGTTCATTTTGTGTTGATAGAATTAGGTATAAGCTGACAGAAGTCTGAAGGCCTGACCTTAGACCTTGGCAGATCTCACCAAAGGAATCACAGCAGTTATCTCCAGAGGATTCTTTAGACTACCCACTCACGCTTGTTCTACTTACCTATTCTGATATTTCCCTCTTAAGTACCCCGTGTATTAAGCAGTAGGCACATTAAAATGCATTTTAAAAAATGATAGTAACATATCCTTGCCGTAGAGATATCTACTAATAGATAATAATAATGTATTAGTTTTTTGTTGTTTTGGTAAGGATTTTTCATTTGTTTGTTTTTTAACAGGGTTTCTCTGTGTAGCCCTGGCTGTCCTGTAACTCACTTTGTAGACCAGGCTGGCCTTGAACTCAGATTCACCTGTCTCTGCCTCCCAAGTGTTTGGATTAAAGGCATGTACCACCATAGCCCAGCATCTATATTAGTTTTTAAACAGCATAACGGGATACCTGAAGCAATTAACATTATAAAGAAAAAAGTAGTTTATTAGCTCATGCATTTAAAGTTTAAAGTTGTGTTACCTTCATTGACTTGTTTCTGATTAGGGCCCTTTTCTGTAACATCTTATGTTGTGGGTTATGAGAGTACAGACAAACATGTGATTACATAAAAGCAGGAAGCAGAGACAACAAAGGTCAGGCTTAGACTTTTTGGACAATCCTTCCAAGAACTAACCAGAATTCCATGAGAAACATTTTAATCCGTTTTGAGGGTGTTGCAGTTGATTGGGATCAACTAATAGGCCTGCCTTCTTAAAGGCTCCATCAGCATACTGAGGACCAAGCTCCTAACAGATAAACCTTAGAGAACAACAGCATCCAAACCATATTATGTCTACATCTTTTAGGACAGATATACCTACTCCCCCATCCCTTTCTATCTCTGTTCTGGTCTTTTTGAGACAGACTTGCTACATAGCCTTGACTGTCCCTTCTGAGTGTTGGGGCTAAAAGGTGTATGCTACACTTAGTCTCTAGTTTTATTAAGGTCTTGACAGATTCTAATTTCCTTTGGATATTGCATTATAGGTTGAAAGTTCTTACTCTTAGTACCTTAGGATGTAACTGTACTTTTTGGACATGAAGTTACTGTGTTCTTTATCCATTATGCCTGCTGTATTTTTTGGAACAGGAAAAAAGAATCTTGTTTTTCGATTTATGCATCTATGGTCAAAGACTTTCTCTGGCCACATCATTTCACCTCATGTAGTACTTATTTTAGTGTTTTGTTTTAAAGACTGGGTCTTATGTAGCGCTGGCCATCTTGGAACTCACTGTGTAGACCAGACTGGCCCGAAATTCACAGAAATCCAACTGTCTCTGCTTCCTGAATACTGGGATTAAAGGTATGCACCACTATGCCTAACAAGTGCACTATTTTATGCTTTTATTATATACTAGTGCTTTGTCTTAGTATATAACCTTGACTGGCCTAGAACTCAGTATGTAGATTAGGCTGGCCTCAACCTAAGTCTCCTGAATGCTGGGATTTAAGGGGTATGCCACTACCTAGCCTTTTCCCATAACTTTAAAGATAAGCACAACCTTGATTAAGTTGTCACTATAACTAATGATTTAACATTCTGAAATCCAAGAACAGTACATATTTCATTGTTCAGGTCTTATCTTTGCTCTAATTTCCCAGCTTGCTCTCAGCTTTTGCTAGGTATTCACTGTAATGCTGTATTGTTTTCAAGTTGCTGTGAAACTTGAATGTCAGAAATATTTATTTGCATGTGAAAACATCACTTTTCCAAAGATGAATTAAAATGAGCTTTAAATCATTTTTTGTCTCAGTGCAACTACAGCTATGCTTCCAAAAAGTTAGGCAGGTAACTTGGGGAAAGACCTTAAAATCTGAAGTTAGCCGTCTTTAGTCTTGACTACCAAGTAGTAATCCTAGTTTCCTATAGCCCTTGAAAATTTCATTTCCTTAAATTAATTCAATTTATATTAATCATCTCTAGCAGCTAGTTTTGAGATATTAGAAATTTAGAAATAAAAGGGCATACTGTTAGCTGGATTTGCATTTAGGCAGTTTGCATCCATTTTGTTTGAATATTTATACTTGTGCAGTGAATTATTAATACTCCTGACCCAGAATGAGTAAGGAGTTTAGAGTATTTCTTTCTAAATGCTTTGTCTTATCTGCTGCTTATATTTGCCCTATTTGGAACCTGCTAGAATTTGCAAATGCTATCTGGCTTTCCCTGCCCATCTCCCTGTGTCCAATATTTATTCCCCAAACATTTTATAGTATCATGTGCTCTCCTACTTTGTTAGATATACCAGTGATCTACAATGCTTAAGACATCTTATTCCTGATTCTGTATTACCTCTTCTCCTTTCTCATATATCTAATCTAGAATTGTCTCTTCCCTTTCTGGTATATGACTGGTATTACTGTTTCTCACCTCTAAGTATTGCTTTCTTGTGTACAACTCAGTGTCCCCAATACTTAATGTTCTTTGTCCACTTTACCCTCGAGTTCTTCTATATTGGGAACTTTTTGTCATTTCCCCACCCATATCCCTTCCCCAAACCTGGAGATCAAACCTAATTGTGTTTGCAAGCATTCTGTCACTGGGCTGTATGTCCAGCCCATTTTTTTTTTTTTTAATGTATGAGTGTTTGTCTGCATGTATGCATTTGCACTACTTGCATGCCTGGTCCCCATGGAGGCCAGAAGAGGGTGTTAGATCTTCTAGAACTGGAGCTAGAGATGGTTGAGACCAAGTGGATGCTGGGAACTGATTCTTAAATCACCAGGCCATCTCTTGAGACCAAACACTTACCTTTTCCTTTGGTTTATTTGTTGTTCCTCCTATAACTTTAAAAACATGAAATGACACACCCTATTCACATTTCTAGACAGCAAGATGATGACTGACAAAGTATTGGCAGCAAAGAAAGAAATTACTGAATGTATTACATCAGTGGCTATGGCATCCCAAGGAAGACTTCCTGGGGAAACTTCTCCAATACAGATGGTTCAAGAAACTATGGGATGCTTGGACAACAATGAGAAGCAAGGAGGAAGTAATGACACAAGCAACAGAACAAGTTCACTTTCTTCCCAGGAAAGCTATTTCAGTCTGGCAACCTTTAACAAGAAAACCCCTTCAAATCAGAACACCTTTGAGTGTAATGAAGGTGAAAGAACTCTCAGTCCAAACTTACATGACACCACACGGCCCAGAACTCACACAGGGAAACTGCTCTATGAGTGCTTGGATTGTGGGAAAGCGTTTTGCCATAGGTCAAAGCTGATTAGACATCAAAGAAGTCACACTGGAGAGAGACCTTATGCATGTAAAGAATGTGGAAAAGCCTTTGGTTTCAGAACAGATCTTGTTAGACATCAGAGGATTCACAGTGGCGAAAAACCCTATAAATGTTGTGACTGTGGAAAAGCTTTCAGGGGCAGCTCAGGGCTCATTAGGCATAGGCGAATTCATACTGGAGAGAAACCTTATGGTTGTGATGAATGTGGGAAAGCTTTCAGCCAGAGCTCTACTCTTATTCAGCATAAGAAGATTCACAGTGGAGACAAAGGCTATGAATGTACAGAATGTGGTAAGTCTTTTAGGAGAAGTTCTGTTCTTATGGAACATCAAAGAATCCATACTGGTGAGAAACCTTATGAATGTAATGAATGTGAAAAATCCTTTAATCAAAGCTCAGCACTCACCCAGCACCAAAGAACCCACTCTGGGGAAAAGCCTTATGAATGTTATGAATGCAGGAAAATATTTAGGCATAGGTCGGGCCTTATGCAGCATCAGAGAACACATACCAGAGTTCAACTCTGTGGGTAAGAGTTGTGTAATTGTGAAATGCTAGGAATTCACTTTAAAGGTGAGACTCCACAAAAAATAAGTTTTCTGACAGTAAGACTTCTGTCTTTTCAGCCCAGTTCAGTTCTGTAAAAAGTATTGAAAGAATTTTATATAGATCTTGTCTACAAAGAATGGTATCTTCTAAAAAAAGACTGACCCATTTCTGAATGAGAACTCTCATCAATATGCTTTTCATCCCATTCCCTACTACCAATAGACTGTCATTGAGTACCTTCATTTAAGTCCATGACTGAGGCACAGATCCTACATGATCTCTTTATAAAATAGCCAAGATCACTGTCCAACCAAAGTGTGTGTCTGATTAAATAGAGTAGGCATGTTTTACATTACTGAACTCTGAAATGTTGAACTGAGGCTATGTCCTAGATCAGTTTAGTATCTGAGAAATGGAAACTCATTTCTGCCCCCTTACCAGTTCTTTCAACCGAGCTTCCTGTTGCAGTTTATTTCCTTGTTTGATACTTCCTGGGCTAACCATTGGGAAAACAGACTTGGTCACTGCCCTCTCAAAATTAAGGGCTAATGGAATATACAAATTTATTAAACAAGTTATTACGTAAGAGTGTGGTAGTAACTTTGCCAGATAAATTCAGGGTTCTGTTGGAGGATATTTCAGAGATGTTTTACCTGATCTACAAATTAACTAATGATTTCTTGGGTGTGTTATCTCATTTGAAACCTAAAATACAGAAGTTACCTTTACTAATGGCAGAACAAAGGCAGTTTATAATACATACATGGAATGATGAGAAGAGAGGATCTGGAGACTATTCCTGTATCTTGACTTCAGTTTCTGCTAGAGCTTTCTTTGATCCCAATTCAGAACCCAGGCTGGTTTCTTTTCCTGTTTGTAATAGCCTGAATTGGATAACCTATTTCAGATCACAAGACCTATATGATCTAAAAGTATTTAGTATTAGTGTGGTAAAAGAAACTCCTGGTGTTTCTAATGTAAAGTCATACATGCATACCAAGGAAACAGCATACATTGGAAGCTGAGGGGCTGGAGTCAGGAGTCTCCCTCAGCATTAGGTTTGCAGATGGTAAGCCACTTGAGGGAAATACATACTGAGTCCATCTCTCAGATTCTACAAAACTATTGATTTTAATTTGGCAATTTTAATTAATCCACAATTGCTTAGGGTAATTTCTATTTAGGGAAATGCACCATTTTTGAAGACTTGGTAATAAAAGCTATTGTGAATAGGGGAGGATGTGGTTCTTGCTTCCAAAGGTTGTGCAATTGTCATTTAAGATCTAACTTAAAGGGATAATTCAAATGGGATAATTGGCTTTTCACATAGATAACAAGTGAATGACTCAATGTTCTAAATATCATATCATTTAACCTTTTAGCTAATTGTGAGTGTTGAGAAGTATAAATCAACCATAATCCTGTTACTCTTAGCAAAATTAACTTTTGAACTATTTCCTATTAGGGTTTTTCTGTAATCCTAACATTTCTGGCAAAAATCTTTAGTATAATACTTTGTGAAGTTTAATATATGTTCAATATGCACTCCAGTTGCTTAGTATGAGCATGTAATGGAATATATTGTAATAAAACCGAAATTTTAAAGTTTTGTTTTTAAATCAATCATGTAAAGAAATACAACATGAGGGGAGTCAGGCTGGAGGGTGGGTAGGCATATGGGGAAAAGGCAAGTAGCACACTTAGTTTCTAGTTCCTGGGTTAAATAAACAGCATCAGGAAGCTATGGCAGCTAGACTTTTAAGGTTGAGTTGCTGGAGCACCAGAATGAAAGCAAGAGCCTTTTAAATTCATATGCATAACTAAACACACCCAGATATCTTCAATACTAAGTTAGAAAGACCTTTGGAATGACTTTAAATTATGTGCTTGTGAATGCAAGTGCCTACAGAGGCCAGAAGAGGGCACTGGATTTCCTTGAAGTGGAGTTACAGGAGGTAAACCACCCAATGTGGGTGCTGGGACTGGAACCTCTGGTCCCCTCTGGTACCTGCTCTGAGCCATCTGTGAAAATGAGGAAGAGAAAGGTGTGAAATTGGTTTAAGATCCATGTGAGGCAAGCACTGATTTGGAGGCTGCCACTGGAGCAAGAGGAGGGAAAGCACAGGACAGAGGGAAGGCCATTAGTTACTTTGTTTTCAGAAAAGGCTGTCCACTACATGTCATAAAGATTGACCATAAGATCATCTTCAGCTCCTTTAACATGAGAATACAGACGTGAGATAATGTGCTTATGCCTTCTCAATTCATGCAAAAGCACTAATGACAGCTGTTAAACTTATAACTAGCCCTTTTCAGCCATAAATCATCATGCACTTACGTTAACTTGCACAGGAATTATAATTTGAAGGGTATCCTTTTAGTATGAAGTAGGTATGTTTGCACAGATTTCATCAACCATGAAAGGTCAAAGTTAAGACCTGAGACAGGGATGTCATAGGGGGCAAGTGCTTATTTTCATACCTACTTTGGACTTTGGCTCACTACCTGCTCCGCCTAGGGCTGGGGATCTAGAGATTAAGCTTGCAGCCTTACACATGGTAAACTTATGCTTTACAACTGAACTATATTCTCCTGCCTTCCTCTATTAAGTATTAGATTTTGCAGTAAAACTTGAAATACAAAAAAGCATATTACCTGTAACTTCAACACCCACAACCAGTATAACATCTTGACATTGTATATTTCCATTATCTTTAATGCATGTTTTACATGGGATTGTGTTGTATATTTAATATATCATGAATGTTTAACTTGTTTTAGCAGCTTGTAAGGCCGCATATTCATGGTTTCTTAAATATATTTCTAGATAGGGTTTCAAAGTCGTAGGCAATGAATGCTTAAGGCTCCTGGTACTGATTGCCAGAGATAAGTATTCACAGCCCATTAGCAGCAAGAGTCCTAATTTGCTCGAATCCTTATTAATTTTATATGAAAAATAAATACCATCTTCACTTCTATTCCAGTATATCTTTAACTTGTAAGACTGGACATTTATGGATTGTTCACTGGCATGTCTGTAGTTTTTTAAATGCTAATGGGACTTTTTTCATGGATAGTATAAAGTGCTTCCAGAACAGTTGAGTTAAAATTCTGACCTTTAGGTATGATAGCCTCCATTTTCTATGTGCAAAATATGAATTTTTACTAATGACTAACACATATACAAAGCCCTTGGCAAATACCCATTATATTTCCTTCTAATCTATGTAACAGCTCTAGAGTATTTCCCTTTTAACATTATCCTACTTAACACCTACATTAGGCATTTAGCTCATTATTTTTATTTGTTAGTATGTACCTATAAATGTCTAAGACAGCATTACTTTTGTATCCTCATAAAATTATTTTTCAGTTTCTACATAGATTTGATTGTGGTATATCATTCCTCCAAACTACTAGGTCTTTGAATCGACTTTTTTTCTCCCCAATAATTTTGAGGTGGGGTGCCATCTTGTTGCTCAAACTGACCAGGAACGTCTAAACCTTTTGTCTGACTGTTGAGAGTGCAGGGATGACGGGGCTCTTGAGTTGATCAGCTTTCTACCTTGCACTGCACACCAGCCTTAGTATACTCTTCCTGATGGGTTTCCTTAGAAAAGGCAAAGTCCTAACAATAATTACCACTTCCTGTTGTCACTTCTCTAGCACTGTCCTCAAAATTTTCAAGATACTGCTAAATATTGCTGACATATGACAAAATATGTGCAAGGTATTTAGAGAAAAAGCCAAAGATCCAGAAACTGTCAATTTTTCAGCACTTGAGCAAGGCAACTGTGCTCAGGTGGAGAAATGGTAGAGAATGGAAACAGTTGCTATGGCATCTTCTAACACAGCAACTCCAATACCGTCTAAAGAACAGAGTCTGTATCTAGGCTGTTCTCTTATAAATTGCACTCATAGCACTCTCTCTGTACAAGTTTAAACGTCGTCTCAGGTTGTGCCAGGAAAACACCTACCAGCCTTCCATTAGGCCACATTGACCAAGACAAAGCTTTTCATGGTGCCGTGAGCAAGGACTCTTATTCATTAATAGAAACTTCATAGGCTCATATGCAGCGCTTTAGAGTCTAGTTGTAGTCATACTTCTCACAGATGTGACGCCAATTGTTTTGTTTTGTTTCCTGGTGTTAAACAAAAAATCTCTTCCTTTATTGTAACCTGGCCTTCTTCCCTGGTTAACTCCTCATTCTTCATATCATTCCAGTTTCCTTTATCCAAAGTTCTTGGGCAACAGTGAAAAGGGGAAAGTGCTAGGCAGTGGTGGCACACACTTATAATTCCAGCACTTGGGAAGCAGAGGCCAGCCTGGACTACAGAGTGAGTTCCAGGACAGCCAAGGCTACACAGAGAAACCCTGTCTCAAACCCAAACTACCCACCCCCCACCCCCAACTGTAATAGACTGACCATACTAAAGTGTCATTACCTGACTGGCAATGGCTATTAAGACTGTAGAGGTTACCTTTTTTCACTCTATTTTTAGTCCCTGGTATAAAGCAGGTATTAAAAAATAACTTAGGACTTACCTAGCATGTGAGGCCCTAGGTTCAATACCCAGCACAGGGGTGGAAAATGGCAGGGCCCTCAGCTTGTATAAACTAATTTGCATCTTTTTCTTCTCGGGGTCATTTCATTTTAGGCCTGTCTTGGGATGAACAAATCATCAATGAAACTGTTTCCTCACTTTTCTTGTTGACTGGCTACTGTTGAGTAAAAACTTTTGAGTTTCTTAAGCAGTCTTTCATGCCATCTATATATCTCACAAACCTGGCCCAATCAGCTGTAGTGAGACGGAATGAAGCCTTTTCCTATGACATTCTCATAGAAAATGAGGTCTCAATAATACATTGCCTCCCCCCTCCCCCAGTATTCTTAATGTTAACAGCAAAGCTCAAAGTAATGGTCTTATATTTTGTTCTGGCAAATCATAGGAAGTTTCAAAAAAAATCTGCACTAGCATTGGGAAGTGCTGGACAAGCAAGTTAGACTGACTGAAGACAATTTATTTTTTTAAAACTGCTTTTATGGAATCTTGCTCCAAAGCCAAGTCAACCTTTTGTCTAATATAGAGAAAAATACACTGATGTATTTACTAGTCATTGTATCGTTACTTAACAGCATGGACTCTCTGATGGCGCATCAAAACTGATCTATGCCTAAAAGCCTTCCCACATTCGTTACATATATAAGCTTCATCCCCAGAATGGATTCTCTGGTGCTGAACAAGGGCTGAGCTCCTTTTGAAGGTTTTCCCACAGTCATTACACTGATAAGGTTCCTCTCCACTGTGAATTCTCTGGTGTCTTATGAGGTTTGAATTCAGACTGAAGGCTTTTCCACACTCACTACATTCATAGGGTTTCTCTCCACTGTGTATCCTCTGATGGGTTATCAGCTCCGAGCTCTGCTTGAAAGCTTTCCCACATTCATTGCATACATAGGGTCTCTCTCCTGTATGAATTCTCTGGTGTCTAATAAGCTTGGAGCTCTGGCTAAAGGTTTTCCCACATTCATTACACTCATAGGGTTTCTCACCAGTGTGGATTCTCTGATGTATAATTAGGTAAGAACTTTGACTGAATGCTTTGCCACACTCATCACACTTACAAGCTTTCTCACCTGTATGAATTTTCCGATGTCTAGTGAGAGCTGAGCTCTGATTGAAGGCTTTTCCACATTCATTACATTCATAAGCCTTTTCACCACTATGGATTTTCTGATGAATAATGAGGTATGACCTCAAACTAAAGGCCTTCCCACACTGATTACATTTATAGGGTTTTTCTCCAGTATGGATTCTCTGATGTTGTGTTAGAGAAAAATGCTGTTTAAAGCTATGCCCACATACATCACATCTGTAAGGTCTCTCTTCTGGAGAAACTTTCTGACATGTTACAGAGTTTGTACTTAGAATTAAGCATCTTTGAGATTCATCATGATGGTCTCTCTTTGCTAAGGATTTGTGTGTGAAGATCACTTGACTAAAACTACCCCTGTGGAGAGGGGAACTTCTTTGCTGCCACTCTAGATTGCTTTTGTGCTCACTAACACTTCTAAATGAAGGGTCCCAAGAGAGTTCTGGTGATTTTTCTTCTAAAATGTCCTCTTTTGCTGTTGTTTCATTATTTTGAGAATCTGAAATGGTAAGAGCAAAACAAAAATCAAATTAGTAAAACTCCAAAATTTACACTTCTTCAGTTATTCTCACATCTTGCTTTGTTCCATGGGTTATCCTGGTACTTCTGATCTCAAGGGATTCTTCTACCCAGCTTTCTAAGTAGTTGGGGTTATGTCATCTCCACTATGCTAACTTAGTCACTTTTTATGTGAAAGAATATAGAAGGTTTTACTTACAAAGATGTCACTGTCCTCTGTGATCTTTTCTCTTCCCCAATGCTAAAGTCTACATCTGCCTTTTAACTTTCATGTTTTCTTCCTTTTAAGACTTCAACTGATCAATTGCTCACTACTTCTCTATTATTTTCAATCTCTTTCTAAATTGACTTTCTGAAATGGTTAGCTTTTAATTATCAACCTGACAATCTATGATCACCTGTGAAGAATGTCAGTGAATTGTCTAGATCAGGTTGGCTTGTGGTCATGTCTGTGGGAGGAAACTATCTTGATTATAGTTGATGTGATAAGGCCCAGCCCACTGTAGACTGTATCATTGCCAGATATGGGTCCTGAACTGTGTGAGAGTGGAGAAACTGAGTGTAGTAGTAGGCATGTATGTTTTCAACCTTTCTTGGCTCTTTACTGGGGATGTGACTCGCTGCTTCAAGTTCTTGCTGTCTTGCCTGTCCTACAATAATGAAATGTAATCTGGAATCATGAGGTGAAATAAACCATTTTCTCCTTAAGTTGCTTTTCCAAGGTATTTTATCATAGAAACCCAAAACAAACTTACCGTCTTAAGCTCAAGTCACTCCCTCCCTCCTTAAAAATCAAGCTCCTTGCCCATGTATCTGTTGAACAACCTCACATTCATAGTAAAATTTTTTGAAAGTGTTTGTCTGGAGTCATTCCCATTCTGCAGTCTGGTTTCTAGTTCACCTTCCTCTTGAACTCTGTACTTCTTTCTATCGATGGAAGTCTTGTCAAGTTGACCAATATTTATAACTGTATATAATTGAATGGGTACTTTTTGGATATTAGCCTTTTTGTAGCATGACACTGAGACCCATACCTTCCATTGTTCTATTTTTCTTCTTGAGACAGGCTTTCACTCTGCAGACTAGGCTGGACTCAAACTTAGGGCAATCCTACAGTCACCCAAAGGCTGGAATTAAAAATGTGAGACATTATAGGTGACCTTCTCTCCCTGTTGCTTTAGCTTTTCCTTTTAGATTTAAGGGCTAATAACTTAAAAACTACGTTCCTTCAGAGTCTATCCTGGGTTTTCATGTATCTTCACTGTTGAAACTCTCTACCCTAGATTCTAATTACTACTTATATTTAAGCTTATATCTTCTCAGTTCTTCAATTCTTTGAATTCTAGACTGTCATACTGTATTTTTCCTTGTATCTGCACGCAAATGCACCATATCAAATACATGAGATTTTTTTTTCTTTTACGTGAACAGTACCATTATTAACCAAGTAGTTCAGGACTGAAATTTGATCACATTTAACATTTAGATTATTCTCTTTCACAATCTGCTTTTAATGATGACATCTACTACAATGCACTTTTAATGCTGAGGAATAGGATTCACTTTAATCTTCTCTATGCCCCTGAATAACACAGGTTTCCTCATTCACTGTGGCTTCTTGGATTCCAAGTCTCTAATAAGATTCTATAATCTTGCCTTTCTCAAATCATTTCTATACTCTGCAGCCAAGTTCTAAACCACAAATCCAAGAATGCCAGTTCCTTGTCCATTACCCTTCAACTGCACCCCTTTACACATAGGATATGAATTAGTGTGACATAAAGGCTTTAACAACTTTGCCTTATTTTCTCCTTTAGGTTCGCTTTCATTATGTCTTCCCTTATCAATTCTCCAGTCAAACTGAAGTACTTCTAATTTCCATAATGGTTTGTATCTCTCACCTTAATGGCTTTTACTCCCTATTATCTGGCTTTCTCCTACTCGTAGTTCAAATTACAGCTTAGGTGTTTCTTTCTCCAGGAAGTAGTCTTCCTTGAATATTTCTTTAAAAATTTTTTTTAAAGATTTTATTATTTCATGTGTATGGGTGTTTTGATGGCATATATGTTATGTACCAAGTATATACATGTGCCAGGTGTTGGATTTGGAATTACAGACAGTTTTAAGTTGTCATGTGGGTGCTAGCAACAAATACTCTTTAACCATTGGGCCACCTTTCCAATCCTCCGTGGATCTCTTATTAGGTTTGGTGTCATTGTATGTGCTGCCACAATACCCACACAGTGCCGACGTGTATTCCATAATTTACTGCACTAGCATACATCTGCTTTCCTCTCTGTGAACCACTCAAGAAGACCTGAAAGTTCCTTGAAAATGGAAACATATCTACCACATTATTAGACATTTTTAGCACTCTATAAAGCTATAAAATGATTAAATGACTCAGTGACAGGGAAACTCCTACAAGGAAGGATGACTGCAATTCATGACGATCACTGAATACAAAGCTGCTGAAGTGAGCACCTCTGGTTTAGATTAATACAAGTGATGTTCACATGCAACAAGTTTATAAATGCAAGTCTGTATTTTCAAAACCAGAGGCCTAACTTACATAAACTTGAAGGTAAGTTTCTATTCCTACCACTGTTAGAGGAAAGGCAAGGTTTCCAGGATTTTAGCTGTGTCTTCAGAGGCTGGACTTGGATGCTTGTTGAATCTTGGGATGCTCTGAGATATGTCAAGTCTTTCCATGACACTGATGGTCCTTGTGGACTATCTGGGACCTGAAACCAGTAAAATATGATTAGTAAAAATCTCAACCAGCTTATTAAGGCCACTGCCACAGATGAAGGATGGGGGGGGGCAGCGGGGGTAGGAATAGGTATGTGCTATTGTTATATCAAAGTTGTGGTTCCTCAGAGACATTTTAACCAGATAAAATACTATATACTGTAGGCTGTGATTTTTTTTCCAGCAACACATCATATCTCTGTCCCCACCTGCTGCCCTTGATCATCAAACTCTTTCTCCAAATCCTCCAGCAGAGTCACAGCTTCCTCACCACTTCTTGGACCATGCTGTTGAACCCATATCTTCAGTTCCTCAGGTAAGATGCTCAGAAACTGCTCCAGCACTAGTAATTCTAGGATCTGCTCCTTTGTGTGCAATTCTGGCATCAGCCACTGATAGCAAAGTTCCTGGAGTCGGCCCAGAGCCTCTCGGGGACCAGGGGTTTCATGGTAGCAAAACTTCCTGAATTGCTGACGAAACAATTCTTGGCAAGATTGGGTACTCCCATTCTGTTTACATTTCTGACTCCAAGAAAAGCTATCTTCTATTTTGACTAGTATTAATTCATCATCTTCTTGATCCTGAGGTTTTAGAGTTGAAATTGCTCTGGATTCCAAAGCCATTCTGTGCTGAAATAGTTCACAAAACTTAGTACAACTGGGTTTTGTGCTTGGGGAGGATCCTACAAGATATGAAAGCACTATTAACTTACAGCATAAGAAGAGAAATCTCTAAAAACTTGTAACATTTTGAAACAGGCTTAAGACTATAAATCAGCCAACAAAGTATTAAGATCATACCTACTACTGAGTAAAATTCCTACCACTAATTACAGAAAAAAATTTTAGAAGTATAAGAATGAAATATTAACATGAATTAAATGGTAGAATTATTTCCTTTTCAATTATGTTTCAGTCATGTTATATTCTTTACTCCATATGTACAGAACTTTTTTCAGGGCTGGGAATGAACTCAGGGCCTTATGAATGGTAAACAAACACTTTCCTACTAAGCTGCAATCCAAGGATAATGAAAAAAAATCTGCCAAAGATTTTTTTTGGCAGATTTTTTTTCCTGTTCTTTTGAAACAGGGCCTATTCAGTCACAGAGCCTGCCTGCTATGTAGGATATGGTGGCCTTGAACTAACAGAGATCTTCCTGCCTCTGCCTCTGCAGTGCTACTATTAAAGACATGCAACATCATGCTCAGCTTTTGGCATAATCTGATGCTAGTTTAATTTCTTATTGTTATTATTGCAGTTGTGCTGGTCTACATTTAAGGTAGTAACATTTAAAAATGTTTAATGAATGTTAAACAAATGTTAAAAATGAATTTGTTTAAATAAAATATTGCTGTACATTTGCCATTTGGTCCCCTTAGTATACTGGAGAGTTCAACGAACACGGAGGCACTTACTGTATATGGGCTTTGTTTTGAGCCAGTATTATGGAAAGGTCTGGCTTATGAATGAATTTAGTGAGGAATTCAGTAACTGTAAAATACTTAGCTTGGGTTAAAAAATGTTATTATGGACGCAAAAAGTCAACTCAAAAGTTCTCAAAAGCAGCAGTACTCTAAATCGAAATATGGTAGTAATCACGTACTAGATTTGGGGATATAGAACAAACCCGACCTGATGTTTAGAGGGGGTATATCCAAAGACCTGTATTCCCTTCAATTGTTATAACCCGGCCCCAATCCCACAGGCTGGGCGCAGAATGAGAAGCCGCCCCATCTACCCACTGCCGGGGCCGGGTGTGTCTCCCAGCTTACACTCCCCTACC